AAAGGTGTGGGGTTTCAGCTCTGTGCTGGGGGCGTGTGCCGGGGTACGAGGGGGAGGGGGAGGGGTGGGGGGAGCAGCGTGACACTCACTCTGAAAAGCTAAGGGAAGGCAGGTGGCAAGGGAGTGAAGGGAGGGTGAGAGAAGACCAAGAAGGCTGCCGTTAAGCCTCCACTTCCTAGTGTGCAAAGAGAGAGGGGGCCCCAAGGAGCCCCAGGACTGGGTGCCCCCAAATCCCGCGGCCCCCCTGTGGTTTGTGCCCACACCTGTGGAGCAAGAGCCTGCTCTAAACTTTGTTCCTTTCTGGGCTGAAGAAACACCATCTGACAAATTCCGTCCTTTGTGAGATCAAACACAGTCATTCATCCCACCTCCCCTCCCCCTCCCAAGGAATGCATTCCTCTCTCCGAAGGCTCAGTGGGACCCAGCAGAAAGTTTACAACCCTCGTGGCTCCCCCACTGCCTGCTCAGAGGTCAGCTCCCTTCTTCTAACTTAACTTCTGCTCCCAGGCTTCAAGGCCCCAGGCAGAAGCCTCTTCTCAACATAAGCTGCGTTTCCACCCCATCCACACGCACGCCACCCCTCTGGGAAGAAGCATCCAGTCCCACCACGTGCAGAGGCACACTGCCCTTCAGCGCCCTCTCCGCTGTCGCCTTGCACAGAGCTCCTCCATCCTCCCGGACCACCCTCTCCCCTCTGCACAACTCTGTAGCCCTCTACACAGGGTGCATTTCTAACAGCTACTCATATGACCCTCTATTCCCAGTTCTGTGTGAATACAGGCAGACGTTCCTCTTCCAGTCACTTTTGGTGCCATCCCAGGGCTCTGCACAGTAAGTGACCGAGAGCTCTCTGTGCAGCATGTCAGCTGCACACACACCATCAGACAAGCGTTCCTAGCTGTGCGCAGAGCTGGCTATGATTATCTTTATCTTCTGCCTGTCCTCTGTCTCCTTCCATTCCGAAAAGCGATGTCCGGAAAGCGCGCTCCTTAACATCCTAGGGTTTGCATAATGTGGACACAGAACAGAAATGCAAGCACTAATACAATGAGATGATGATGATGATGATGATGGAGATGGCCAAACAAAATCACTGAGAATTCACTGCATGCCAATCGAGGCACAGCCCATGCGTCTTCTCCTAGGGTGTTCATGTCAGGGTCAGGGCTGCTAACCCGCTTTCGGTGAGAAAAGTGAGCCTCGGAAGGTCCCCATGTGGCCACACGGCCTCGACTGCCAGGACGTGGCCGGAGAACAGAGTGCACGCAGCACACAACACGGCCAGCAGGTGGGAAGTGGGAGTAGGGGTGAAAGGAACTGGCTAGGGGCAGAAGCCTGCAAAATCACAGCCCAGCCGGACACGGGCACAACAACCAGTTTGTGCCCCCACCACAGAGGCTACGGAGCACTAACACGCAGCCAGTACAACCGAGGAGATGAAGTTTTTATTCAATGTAACTTCGGTCGGTTTAACTTTGAATGTAAACATCCACCAGGGGCTGGTGATTTCAGGCGCAAGAACAATGTTGACCCTCCTCGTCTTCCTTCCGAGGTGAGACGCATGGAAACTGCTCTGAGCTCGTAAGGTGCAGCTCCTTCTGCACAGGGACGGACGCTCAGAGCTGCTCACCTGCTGCAGACACCTGGCCTTCAAAGCCTTGTCCCACGCACACCATGCCGGGCAGCACCTGGGAGACGCAGCCGGCACTCAGACCAGGCCTCTTTCCGTGGGCAATGTGATGAAGAATGGGAAAGGAGCAGAAAACGACCAACCCTCCACCGTCAGCCACTCCACAGGACAAAACGTCCCGCAGTCTAAGGTCATCAGCTTTGAGCTCACACAGTGCACACTGCAAACACCGGACTGTGGACGTGAGCTCCACGGCACACGGAGGTGGGTTCCACGTCACTGACACGCAGTCTGGCCAGGAAGTTCCCTACGTCACCTGCTCATCTCAGAACAGAGGTTATGGAATGGGCACAGTTAACAAGGCATTGAAACAGCCCACATGACAGAGAACAGCACTGTTTACTTGGGGGAAAGAGGAATGCGAACAGTTACGACTAAAAAGTTGAGATTAGCAGTATTTCCCTAACCTCTAAGAACAAGGTAAACTTTGGTCCAGTTAAATTCATCCACGTACTAATACCGAGAGGAACTCTGGTCTTACTCTTCAGAGCTGCTCAAAACTTAACACCTGGGCCAGAGGTTTAGCTCACGGTTCTGCCGCCTGCCTCACAAGCACAAGGACCAATTTTGCTCCCCAGGACCTCCCCCAAAAATAAACACCTGCCTTGCACCTGGCCTTGGCAGCAGGGAGGTAGCGATGACCCGAGCCTTTGACAGCCTCCCTTTGCTGCTTCCCAAAGGTGCAATCACAGAGCATTCAATTCCACAAGGACACGTTCCTAAGACATCACTCAGTTTTCCACTTTGGCCAGAAATTGTCCTGTGAGACACTGGTGAGGAGACCAGGCACCACATGTGGGGTAGAGGGCCGTCTGCCATCAGATACTGTGCCAGCCACCACGAGAAGGAGACCTCGCTAGACCCGATTTCCACTGACAGTGGATCAGGTATCCCATGTGGACACAGCACTGCCTCGCAGGAGGTGCTAGGGGCCAGGACGACCACCTTTACACTACTTGGCAAGCCGGTTCACGTCAATGCCTCCAACACAGGAAAGACAGAATCGAGGCCAGAAGTCAAGAGGAAATTGAAGAGAAGGAAAAACTTAAGGAAGAAAACAATTACAGGGACCCCACAGGTTGCACACCAGGTAATCACCAGAGAAGCAGCACCATGTTGGTTGTGATCGCTGGGCTACTATCTACAAAAGCAAAAAAATAAACTTTTCACGCCAGGTGCAGTGGTGTATACCTGCGATCTCAACTCTTCGGGCATCTGAGGCAGAAAGAGCACAAGTTCAAGTCTCACTTGGTTCAGCAAGAACCTGTCTCAAAACTTTTATTAAGGGGGTGGAGCTGAGGGCATAGCTAAGTGTGTGCCCTGCCTCCGACCCCTGTATCATGACTTTTCCAAAAGCTAAATACCTTAAAATGTCACAGACGCCCTCATAACTGATTAGAAGCCAAGTTTTGCCTATTTTATTTCCAAACATCTGCTTTGCTTCCTTGTTTTTATCTCATTGCTAGCACCTTGCGTCTTCTGCCAGACGCCCATACACCCAGCTCCCCAACTCTACTTCCTCTTACAAAATCTCTTCTGTCCTACGTCAGTGCTGTGGGAGCTCAGGCCTTCTAACTCACTCTTCCAAAGTTTCAAACTACACACTCCCCTTGAACCCTGGGCCCGCCAAGCTGGAGTAAAACTGGCCTCGCTGTTCTCTCTCCGCACCACCCCTGTCCCTGCCCTGCAGGCCTGGGGGACGCAGCTCACACTGTATCTGGAAGCTGTCCTCGTCCCCCAGCGTGTGCTTTATTACACTTGGCACAGCAGCCTGATTTTGCAAACTTCCTATTTACCCAACCTGGCTGCGGTCTCCCTGAAAACATGTACCACTGCTTGTACAATTCCGTCCCCTGGGTGTCAGCTGCCCAGATCAGTGTTTTGGGCAAAACAGCTGCTCCAAAAAAGTGGTGACAGTCGTGATCTCCAGCACGAGAGCCCACATGCTGGTGGGTACAGCTCTGCCCACGCCCCGTGCCGCACTCCCAGCCTTCCTCCCAGACACGCTGTCCTCCACCCTCACACTTCCAACAGGCGACCAACAGCTCTTCCCCAGGACTCAAAGCCAGGCTCGCCCGGTTCAGTCTGGGAAGAGGCATCTTACCTTCCCCGTTCGTGTCTATGAGCATGGACAGTGTGCCAGGAGCTGTGGGCAAGGTAATCAGGGCCCTGTGGAAGGGCCGAGGTGCTGGCGTGACAGAGCCATTTTAAAAATGAACCTGGAGTAAAGACATACGCACACACACACGCATGTGGTGGTTAGAGTGTCTCAGACAGGCAGGCTGTCAAGGAGAGGGTGCCCCTCTGGGAGGTGACCTCTGAAGAAGGACGCCTAGGGCATGAAGAACAGGGGCAGAGCTGTCCCACACGGGAGACACCAGGCACAAGATTACCGTGCTCCCAAAGGAGGCAGCCAGGGGCTGGGCACCAGGAGAGCCAAGAGCACCCAGCGGAGCAGTCTTTTCAACCTCAGTTCGTTCACTGACAGATAGCAGCCGTATATATTTACAAGGTGCCATGCAATGTTCCGGTGATGTGTGCATTGCTGGAGGGGAAACTGGCTGATGAACGTTCCGTGCTCTTACACAGGGACCGTTTCTTCATGGCGAGACTGTTTAAAAGCCACTGCTGCAGCGATTTGGAAATACACATCATCGGGACACCTCCTCACGAGACTGTGCCACGGGTCACCAGGACTCCCTCCTCCTCCTGTGGAACTGAAGCTTGGGACGCTCGGACAACATGGTCCCTTCCCCTGTCCCGGGCTCCTCCGCGCCACAGAGCTGCGCTGTACTTTCGTGAGCTGGATTTTTTGACTCCATGCATACGGGAGGTCATGCAGCATCTATCTTTCTGTGCTGGTTCATTTCACCAGCCATACAGTCCTCAGATTCATCGATGTTGTGCAAGTGACAGGATTTTGGGCCTTTTTAAAGGCTGAAGTATTCGTCTGCTGGTGGGAATTTACCTGTTTCCGTAGGCTATGGTGAATAATGCTGCAACGAGCACGAAGTGTGCAGATATCTTTCTGACAAGCTTATTGTAGCTCTTTCAAATACATACATATATATATCCAGAAGTGGGACAGCTAGATCATATGGTAATTCTATTTTTGTCCAGTACTTTTTCTTTTGAGGAACTTCCATAGTGTGTCCCGTGTGTCTGTGCTAATTTAAATCCCCAAGTACGTATGAAGGCTCCCTCTTCACGTCTCCTCCAACACGTCATGCTGACGCTGCCAGGCGATGACGACTCAACCTGCTTTAATTACCATTCCCTGCTGACTACTGGTGTGCACTACCTCGCATGTATCTGGTGGGTTTTTTGTAGGGCTTCTTTTCAGAAATACCTATGTAGGTCCTTTGCCCGTTTTTAAAGAGAGTTTTTCCTCTTAATTATTTCCTTTGCTGTGTAGAAGCTCTTTAGCTCAATGCAATCTCATTTATTTATTTATTTTTTTTGCCAGTATTTTGGGGTCATGTGCAAGAAATTGTTTCCTAGACCAACGTTATACAGCTCTTTGGGTTTTCTTCAGGCAGTTTCACAGTTGAGTCTGACACTGAAGTCTTTGATGTGCTTGGAGTTGGTTCATGCATAAGGGGTGAGACAGTGGCCTGATTTCATTCCTTCCATGTGGAGAGCCAGTTTTCCCAACACCATTTACTGAAGAAACTGTCCTTTCCTGAATGTGCGTTCTTGGCCTCTTTTTAAATAATCAACTGATTGCAGCCATGTGGATTTCTTCTTCTGCTCCCCGTTCTATTTAAGGAATTAATCGCCCGCTTTTATGCCTGTGCCACGCACCACACTGCTTTAATCGGGAGAGCTCTGTGATGCAGTTTGAAGACAGGCAGTGTGATCCTCCAGCTACTTCTGCTCAAGGTGACTTTAGCTCTTTGGGGTCTTTTGTGGCTCATTATGAGTTTCAGCATTGATTACTCTACTTCTGACTATGGGATTTTGATGGGGGGGATGGCATTAAATCTGGAGACTGCTTTGGGTCACATGGACGTTTACTTTTAACAATACCGATTCTTCCAATCTGTGAACATGAGACATCTTGCCATGTGTGTTATCTCAACTGCCTTCATGTTTTATAGTTTTCAATACATAATTCTTTCAGATCACTGAGTATATTCACTCCTGGGGGCAGTGTTTGTTTGTTTGACCAGTGCTGAGGGCTGAACCTAGGACCCCAAGCATGCTACACAAGTGCTCTGCTCTGAGCGACAGCCCAGGCCACTCAGGACCACAAGCTCTAACCTGAACAACTGGGCAAAAAAAAAAAGGAAAAAAGGATCCAAATAGGAAAGGAAGAAATGAAATTATTTCTATTTTCTGAATAAATGATTTTATATATTAAAAAACACACTCAGAGACTCCACCAAACACTTTACACGTGATAAACAAATTCAGTAAAGTGGCAAGTTTAAAAAAAAAAATCAACACATAAACCAGTAGCATCTCCATATACCAACAAGTGTCTTGGGGCAGAAAGAGGCATCTTTACTTTCTCAGTGTGTTTTGTAAAACTTGTCCCTACTTTATAAATGTGTGGACTTTCCTCTCCAGGGAACATGTGTCTCTGACATTCTCTGACATTTTCAAAGGAAAGAATGAGCTGTACAAAGAAGAACATTAAGAAAAAGGAAAAAAGAAGAAGAAGGAGAAGCAAGCCACACTTACCATAGGAAAGAGCACATACTCTCGGAGGAAATCTTGAGAATCAAACTGATTATAGTCTCCAAAGTCAGCTGAGAAGAAAACAATGGGGGAAGAGTCATAGTTATTACATGAAATTGAAGCTGGAATAAAATAGGGCAAACCTGTCACCACCTACTACCTTCTTCCTCCTCCATTCTGTTTCTGCACCACTGTTATATGAAAACACTGCCAAAGATGTGTTTGATATCGTTTCTACCTTTACCCAACAACGGTAAACATCGGCATGTCCACACTGCTACCCAATTTTTGGAAAGAAAGAGAAATATGAAAGCCATTCCTAAAGGCTATTTTACGAATTTAAAACAAACCTGTATTTTTCTTTGCAGAATGTGCCTTGGTCCACCTCTTAAAATCTCTGCCAAGGGTTTTTTTTTTAAACCCAAGGTTAATTTAGAGAATTGCAGGGCCAAGCCCATCTGTGCTGCTGCTGTATCTGCAGCTGGAAATTCCCACTGTAAAGCACCGTTGGCAAGCAACCCTGAACATCTTCACGCCTCCTAAACACCTTCACATGTTGCAAGATGCCAGAGTCTGTTCAGTCCTGTTTTCACAAGGGTCTGCTGGAGCACAAGCAAGATGAAGATGTGGAATTCTGATTTCGTGTTACAGATTTAGCACCCAAAAGAAATGGATTAAGGTATTTGTAAGGTAAGAATAGCTATAGAATCACTGGCTACACACACACGCACCAGGGTCAACCTAAAGAATTCACCAAGACAGCAAAGATGTATCTACAAAGATGACTAATTATCAGGTAGGCACAGCAGTCGGCAGCTGGGTGTGGTGAAGCACGCCTGTGATCCCAGCACTTGGGAGGCTGAGGAAAGTGGAACGTTGTGAGTTCAGGGTCAGCCTGAGCTACATAGAAAAAGACAAAACTGACTCACTCTGCTGTCTTCAAGTTCAGCCATCAGTCCTCATCTTCCATCACAGCTTGTATTTCTGACTGTGTCTTTCAATCGAAGCTTTTCGAAAGGAAAAGATCTAACTTGGAGACGAGGCACATATTGGGTGTGCTCACTCCTTTGTCTATGAAAGGTTTGTGTTCCATTTTTTAATGATGCTACCGGTGCTTTTCCTATCATGAGAGCCACGTGGATTCTTCCCTTTCCAGTCCCCAAGTAGCCAGGTGTGATACAACACGGTGTATCCTTTCTATCCTCAGAGCAGTCGGGGGAGCTAACTCTGCAGGAACACTAGTCTAGCAGAAATCACCACACCACAGGAAGAAAGAGGTCATGGGAGGGACAAATTAGCAGATATTTAGAACTCAAAAGGTTCAACTTCAGTTCAAAGTGTAAGATGGGAAGTTCGCTTCACAGCTCCTAAACCAACAGTCCACACAGCAAGAACTCAGCTGCTGGCAGCTAAATTTCAAGAAAATAAGGACTCCTTATCAAAACTTGTACTTCCATCTTGTTTGTTTGCAATACGACTAGCGGCAAGTAAGCCAGCACTCAACAAATAACACATACACGCATACACAGAGCAAGTAGAGAAGGTAAAACAAAAAGCCAGCTGATAAATCCAAACAGGGCAGGTAAATATAAATCTATTGCTGTTTACATGTGTTGTTTCACATTACCATTGTGGATGTCAAATTTATCTCTGAATCTACTCGAATAAATTCCACAACAGTGGTTAAAGCAATTGCACCTGAAGCCGTAACAGAAACACATTTCTACCATCAACCCACAGACCATGGCCACATCTGCAGTGGAACAATTCTGAGACAATGTTCCACAAACTCTGAAATGCAGCTTGAACTGAAGGCGGGATAAAAGCTGCTGTCCCTTCAGGCCCAGCTATAATTGCATGAGCGTGAGCAGTATGCAGACAGCCTGGAGAAATCCACTACCCTTCCACCCCAGGTCGCTCCATTTTCATCTTAACGAACGCTATCTCGAAATAACAAGGAAGCATTCTCGAAGGGCGATTTAAGCAAATGCACCTTCCACTCTGAGAAGCTAGCAGCACCGTACTCACACAGAAGCACGATGTCACACACTGGTCACGGATCTTACCTTGCACCGCCAGGCCGGCCAGCCGGATCACCTGCTCCAGTGAACAACGTAAACGCCCTTCGAGCACGTCTTTTTTGACTTGCAGGTAATACTGGTATCTGTTCAGGGGAATAGAGGAAGAAACATCCTTTATCACACATGCTTGGGACGTGCTTCCAAAACACACAGATCTCTGGAGGCAGAACCCAGCGTGCACAGGAAGACACGCTGGGGGCGCTGACAAAGGCCATCTCTGCAAGACAGAAAGTGACCTGTGCCTGCATTTGTCCCTGTTCATCCCGAGTCTGACAGGGCACTCATCCAATCGCTTGTGGTCGGGCAGGAGAAACAACTGACAAGGAGTGAAATCACTCTTCTGAATCCAGTCACGCATGCAACGAGGTCACAGCCGAAGCTACACTCCACAGTGTGCTCTTCCCGAATAACCCTAGAAACACGCCACCTTTTAAATGCAGTAGTTTCATAGGACAGATCACCGAGAGATCAAGTAATTTGGAATTCTGCTCAGGTGGAGGATGGAGCTTTTCAGAGCTAGGCTTCACCGTACCTATCTGTGACTCCTCAAAATCTGATCAAATGAAACTTTTCTGCCAGAAATACAGTTCCCACCTGCAAAATGCAGACAGAGTGAAGCCTCTGACCACAGGCTCAGGCAGGGTGCTGCTTCCTTGCCGATAAAACTGCAATCTTGCAAAGCTCTAAACACTTAGAAATCTCCACACCACATACATTTCCTCCCAGGACATCGCCTCCTCTGACCACACCCTCACGAATCTGTCACCTTTTCAAGTCACTTCCTGGCTAACCTGGACAACCCATCTGGTAACTGTAATGCTTACTTCACCTTGACGCCCCAATCCAGGAAAACCAGAGGTGACCAAAGCTTTTCTGAGAACAGGCAGTTCGAGCTGAAGGTTCCCCGGCACTGTCACAGGATCACAAGCTTCAGTCTGCAGTCTGCCCAGGGAAGGACCAGCTCTCCTGCACACCCCACCCAGCCCTCACTTCTTTCTCTTGGGTCTGCCGGACAACACAAAGACGGGCATACAAATCCTCAGTGAAAAACACCAGAAGCACATCAGAAGGGCAAATGCTGGGAGTCACTTAAAAGCCCATGGGTTTTTTGTTGTTTTGTTTTTTTAAACAAAATACACATTCTTTTGTTTTACTTTGTTTTTTGGTACTAGGGATGGAACTTCAGACCTTGCAATTGAGAGGGAGGTGGTGACACCACTGAGCTAAATCCCCAGCTCCTAAAACTCCATGTTAATAAAAACTTCATAGAGAACAGAGAAGTAACATCCTACCTTCACCTCGTCTCCCCATCTGACAAATCAAAGTCACTTTCCAAGGTTCACTGTGGATCAATCATCTTACTTCTGGTCCCCAGCGCTGGATCACATTAAGGAATGCATCTGACAAATGTCTCCACCGGTTTTCAGAGGCCCGTCCCTGGCGTGTTGCGGAAAACCTTTGTGCCATGGACAACTCTGACCTCACAACCTCTGATCCATGGACCCTCGAAGTGGCTGAGTCCCCACCAGCAGGGGTACAGTCATAATTAGGGACTTGAGCTCCCAAGCCCTTTGCTGGTCGTGAAGAGGCACTCGTGCCCTTTCTGCACGTGCACACACTAGGAAAGGGGAAATATCAGGTAGGACCATTTCTAAAACCCTCCGTGTGTGTCGGGTAGGGACATTTTTAAAACCCCCTCCGTGTGTGTGTGTGTGTGTGTGTGTGTGTGTGTGTGTGTGTGTGCGTGTGGTTGTTTTTAAAGGGAGTTTTTCATAATACCATATGATGGGAGGAAAAGAGAAGTCATGCCTACCTCTTTGCTCCTCATAGGAGAAAAGCCATATAAATAAAACATTTGAAGCAACAGTTTTATGTGAATTTAAAGATGCAATACAAGAGTAAATTTTAAAAAGTCTGATATCAAAGCATTCAGAATTGCTACAGTAAAATAAGCTATAAAAATCTCTTCCTGGGGCCGGGGATTTAACTCACTGGTTCTGCCACCTGCCTTGCAAATACAAGGTCCTGAGTTCACTCCCCTGTACCAAAAAAAAAAAAAA